TTATCCAAATGGCCAAAATTCCTCTTATGTTATTTAAAAACAGAGATTTGGGCTCTAAGGCTGCTCATTGCTACTGGTGTGTCACTGTTTCCATACTCTTTAATCGACTAAGCTAGAACATGATATAGATAAATGGATGGATAGATGGATGGACGGGTAGTTATTGATATATTTATCTTTCTAATTCGAGGTTAACATCATAAGTTTTTTTTTTCTTATTTCTATATTTTTATCTCTTAACACTGAATTTCTGAGTCCTTAATAACAATAACCTATTTACTTCTTTGCATTAAGATGTCAGATTTACAATTCTAAAATTCCAATACTAATATTACAAACTGTAAAACTTGCAAGTAAAATTTAAGATTTGTGTTTTCATATGATCTTTAGAATCAACTTGTCTAACTTCATGGGAAAAAAACAATTGAAATTTGATATTTTTATTCAATCATATTAAAATTTACATGAACTTTTGATATTGAATTGTTCTAGCCAAAAACAAGATATCTTCCTACTTGTCCAAGTCTAGTTTTCTTTATTTCAAGAATGTTTCAAAGTTTTCCTCACATTGAATTTGTGCACTTCTTTTAAAGGTTTATCTCTGGATAATTCATCTTTTTTGTTGCTGTTGTAAGCAGGGTCTTCTGTTATGCCATCTCACTGGATTGTTTGTGTATATGAAAGCTTTTGAATTTTTGTGTTAATTTGAATTATTTTATTGTATGTAGTGATTTTTTATTGACTTTCTTGTGTTTTAAGTTATTTCTTAGATTACCTGAAAATTAAGTTAGTTTTTCTCTTCCTTTCCAATTTGTTTGCCTGTAACTTTTCTTTTATCTGATTACATTGGCTGATACCTCCAATTCAATAATAAATATTAGTGGAGATAATGGGCATCCTTGTCTTTTTTCTGACTTTATAGAGAATTCCTCTAGTGATTTCTCTTTAAGTAAAATGTTAGATTTGGGGCTGAGTTTTATTTGTATTTTATCATGTTAAGTATCTCAGTTCTTACTTTCTTACCTTCTTTTTACAGGAGGAAAAGATGTTGAATTTTTTTGAGTACCTTTTAAGCAGTGATGAAGATGATCATATAATATTTCTCTTTAGTAAATATCTGGCATTACAGTAAATTATATCAATGGATTTCCTAATATTGATTCATCCTTAATTTCTGGGAAAAAATCCTACTTGGTTGTGATGTTATTTTTTAATGTACTGTTGAATACTGTTTGTTCATATTTTACTTAGGTTTGATTTTACATGGCCTCAAGAGCTTGAAAGCCTTAACTCTGGTCTTTTTAAAAGCTTGTTATATACCATCTATTTAGTTGTCTCTCCTAGAATTTTTCAAAGAATTGGTATTTTAACTTCTTTCTGTATATGTCACAGTTTGAAGACTATTTATTCTTTCTTGAAAAACTAGAGTGTGAAATAAGAGTTGAGTAATTATATCTTCCTCTGTCAAATATTGCTTTTATCATTGTCTCTTCAAACACTGGACCATAATTCCTTCTTGTTGCTAAATTTAGCCCCCAAAAGCCCTTAGATCTTAAAGCCTATCTTCCATATTCATATAGCTCAAACTTCCTCCAGGCTCACAAGTCACATAGATTTGGAAAAAAGTAGATACTAGTTCTGTTCAGATGATGCAGTATTCATTCCTTCTCAGTTTCTCTGTTAAATAAATGTAGATTTGGTCCTAATATATGCTAGGGGATAAAGTATGTTCTCAATTATATTAAATGGTGCCTTTTTCATTCATTTTACCTCCTTATTCTTTTAGTATCGAAATGTATTATCCCCTCCTCCTGAAATGTATTTATCAGTATTTTCTCTAAACTTTTTAGAAAATATTTTTGTTGATTTTTAAAAGATTTCTTCACTCTTGTTTTTTTCTTTATTATGTCATTTATTATATGTATACATACAAAAGAATATATTGTAAGCTATGAGACTTTACTTAAAGTCAACTGATTGTAAATGTTAATCACATCTATAAAACATCTTCCCAGTAACATCTCTATTAGTATTTGACCAAGCAAATGAGCACTATAGCCTAATCGAGTTGACTCATAAAATTAACCATTACATATAACTCTATGTTTAACCTTTTGGGGAACTGCCAGGCTATTTTCCAAAGCAGCTGCACCATTTACTTTCCCACCAGCAAAGTATGAAGATTCTGATTTTTCCACATCCTCACCAACATTTGTTGTTATCCGTCTTTTGATTATAGCCATCCTAGTGTGAAGTGGTGTCTCATCATGGGGATTTGCTTTTTTTTTCATTTAATATGTTTCTAAGATACATCTGTGTTGTCACATGTAGCTGTTCATTCATTTCTTTGTGGTATAATATTCTCATGTTAATGTCCCATAATTTATTGGTTCATTATTCTGTTGATGGAAAATTGGGTTGTATCCAGTTTTTTACTTTTATAAAGAGAATATTCTTGTACAAATGTACAAGAGTTTTTCTAGAGAATATGTATACATCTCAGGAGTGGAAATGCTGGTCTGTAGGGTATACAGTACTCATGTTTACAAGATAACGCCAACATGTCTTCCAAATGCCTCTGTCAGTTTTCACTCCCATCTTCAGTGTATAAGGTTTCTGTTTATCCGTGCACATTTTTCCACCATTTGGAATTATCAGACCCTCTTTGCCAGTTTCATGGGTTTCTCAATTTACATTCCCTTGATTATTAATGAAGTTAAGCATATTTTTATTTTTATTAGTCATATGATTGCTTTTTTAAAAAATGTTTGTCTTTATGTCTTTTACACATTTTTACAAATTGGGTCATTTGTCTTATTGATGTCTGCAGATTATGTATTCTGGATATTAATTTCATATCAATTATATATGTTACTGATATCTGGTGTGGTTTTTTCTTTTGTGGTCTTTTGATGAGCCAAAGTTGTTGATTTTTAATGTAATTTATTATTAATGCTATAGTTTATACTTATTGTATCTTAAAAACCACATTTCCATGTTTAGCCATCTCATTTTGTGGCTAAGCATGTTTGTTATAATTTCTCAAACAATTAGCTTATCAAACTTGATAGGGATTATTCCTCTCTATGTAATACTTTTTTAAAAAAACTTTAAACATATCAGAAAATGGAAGAGATTGGAAAAGAAACATCACAGGGTGCTTCATAGTTAAGCCTGTGTCTTATATACAGGATGCATACTTAAATTTGGCTAGTAAAATATCCTACAGCACTTCTAGATAACAAATTATGGTGAACATATAAAAATTGTGGTCTGCCAACAACATATTCCTTCTGTAACAAAGCTTATATTAATGAGAGGACAGAACACAATTAGGAAACTCTACTGTTTTAAGCCATGAGACACAGAGACAAATGAAAACAATGTTTGTTTTTTGTCTCAACTTAGGAAGAGGACCACCAAGCCCGGGTAGAAGAGGCGATCACCCGCATGCTTGTGTGTGCCCTGAAAAATGCAGAGGATCCACACAATACCAGAGCTTGGTTAAACCCAACTGAGGTAGGCCTCTCTGGTTTCCACCCTGGCAGTTAGTTTGCTGTGATAAATCAACTTTGGCCAGAACATTTGTTTTTCAATTTATATAAGTGCATATAGCCATTCTAAAGGGTTTTCTTTTTTCCTTAGGTTGAGGAAACATCCCATGAAGTCAATTGTCGCTACTTAAATGGAGCTGTTTCTGCCTTTTTTGATCATTACAGAACATCTAAGGTAGTAGAAAACCAAGCTCTCAGAACAAATGGAGAGTACATGAAAAAAGAAGAATTAAATGTGTACAGCCTCATGGAGGTGGAACAAACAGGTAGCCAGAACTTACCCTTGGGAACAGTAAAGCAGGAGGCAGCAAGTCCCTTTGGCCCCGATCTGGTTCCTGTAGTACCAAGCTCCGAAGAACCACCCTCAGAAAGGGGAAGCATATTTGAAAATGACGGTAAAGACTTTGTTGGCAAAGACAGAGAACACTTTGGAAAATTGCATTGTACCAAGAGGCAACGAAGGATGAGTAAAAGTGAGAATGCAGCTGTTGAACAAATTGCTTCAAATAGCATTACGGCCCCTTCTCAAACATTCGTTTCTACTGATGACTTGCTGGACTGCTTGGTAAACCCACGAGTAACCAAGATAGTGGCACAACTTTTGATACAGGGAAGAAGTTTGTAATTGTAATAGAAAATGGCTTTTTAATATTTTAAAAATATTTTTTAAATAGTATGATTTTAAAATAAAAGATAAAACAGCAAAAAGTCAGTTTGCACATGCTGTTAACCTAGTTAACTTTCAGTCTCTTGCCACCTTCTTGCATTCATGTCACTCTTTGGTCATATTGGCTCTTTGTTATTTGTTAGGACTTCTTCCTGTGCCTTTTCCTTTCCTCTCCTATCCTGTCCCTTCAGCCCGTCTCAAATCTAAGCCCCAAGTGTTTTCAACAGGAGGTAACCTCTCCATCAGCCTCAAGCAGGGGTTAGCCTGCTGCTTGTTTTCATAAACTTTCATTGGAACACAGCCATACTATTTGTTTTCATATTGTCTGTGGTGGCTTTGGGGTTACAGTGGTAGAGTTGAGTAGTGACAGAGATTTTATGGCCCACAATGCTGAAAGTATTCACTATTCCCTTACAGAAAAAATTTGCCAACCCCCGGCCTAATGCATCCATTGGGTGGATTGTAACCTTGATCTGAAGTGATCACACTTCTAACACTTGAAGAATTCTCACTGGCTAACCTCTGTCATCCAGAGCAGGAGACCAATCAGGAGAAAAGTCCAGTATGAGGTCTCCTTAATGGAAGGAACTGGGACATCTAGGAACATGAATCTTGGGAATAAAAAGACTGGATGCTATTGACTCCTGAAACTAAAAGCTTGGTTTGGTGAAATTCACCCCACTCTCATTACACTTGCAAGATCTTGGGATAATTTTTACCATTACTATCTAAGGAAGAATTTAGAAATTACAATAGCATATTGATCTCTGAGTAACCATTCATGAAACAAAGATACACAAATTCACCTTTTAAGATGACCTGACTACTAGCCCTATCTTTCTCAGTCTTCAGACCGAGGGTATCAATAAATCCAAACAAAGAATGTGCCTTCTGGGAGAGAGGGGGGAAGGAGGTGTTATGTTAGTATGCCCAGGAAACAAAGGTCTGGAAAAAACCCTTCTGTAGCACTTAACCACCATCTGACCAGTATATATTTACCTATTTATTTGATTGGTGTCAACATCCCCCAACCAGAATGTCACTGCATGAGAGTTTTGATTATTGCTATATTCACAGAGCCTAGATCAGTGCTCAGCACGTGGTAGGTGTTTGTTAAATATTCGAGTGGATTATTTTAAAAAGGAGACCTTGTTGGCAGTAATACTCCATCAAATACACTGGGGCAGAGGATGTCGTGAGGAAGGGTAAGATGTCTGTTACCCTAAGTAAGTATATTCCTGTTGCAAAAATGGCATATCTTTGTCTTCAGTTATTTTAGTTTTTACATGTAACTCTTTTGATCGCTGTTTTTCAAGTTGTAGTTTGTGACCCATTAGTAACAAAATCGATTTAGTGAGACCAGCATTTTTTTAAAAAATAGAACAGAATAGGTAATTTCAGTGAATTCAATAGTAAATCTAAGTATTATGCGACACTTTCCAGGAAAAGTATTTTTTCAAGGTAAATATATTTCATAAAACTTTTCAGTTACATCTGTGTGTGTACTGGGCCTGACACACCCATTTCTTAGTGAAGACGGGGGTCGGAAAAGCTTGGAAGTTTTTCTGAGACAAAGCTTTTAATTCAATTAGAGCTACTAGTCTTTGATATGTAGAGACCTGGAAAGAGAGTTAAGACATTAGTAGGAGTGGATTCTGAGTATATACAGGTGATGGTAGATAATTTCCTGATTTTATATAGAAATTACGACACAGCAGGAGAACCCGGCTCTCTGCAAAAAGGGGAGTGTGAGAGTGAGAAAAGATAATGAAATGGGGAGGCTGTCAGCCACCAAGATAGCTGGGTCCCATTTCATCCTGCATTTCTCAGACGAGCATGGCTGTGTGAGTGAAATCAACTGTTAAATAAACACATTGATCCTACGGAGGCAGAGGGATTAAAGAATACAAGCTCAGCATTACATCTTAAGTCACAGTATCTAGGTATCAGCAGGGCTGACCTATACAGTAGGCGCAGTGGTTAGGGCCAATGAGCTTTTAGGGGTCCACAAGAATATTTTCATTTCTTTTAAAATAAAAAATATATATATAATCCAGCCTCAATTACATTCATGTTTATATCAATGCAGTTGCAAAGTGTAATTTTTAACACTTTTTATGGAGTAGGGGGCCCATAGTGCCTGAGGCCCATGAAAGTCCTAAGTGTCTGTGGGTATCAGGGATATCAGAATCATTTGAGGTGCTTGCTGCAAATACAGATTCTTGGGCACCCCTCTAGAGCTACAGAATCTGACTTTTTAGGGATGGGGCCAGAATTTGCAGTCTCCGCAAACACCTTGGGTGATTCAGAAACCAAAAATGTTTAAGATTCTCTGGCCCTGGAGTAGACCACCAAGACCTGTCACAGGCTCATGGTGGGCTTGTGTCAGCAGCAGCTACTTGTTGGGGTCAAGTTGCCCTTCAGATTTACTGAACTAAACCTGCGCTGTGCCCTTCCCGTAATTTTCAGCTGACCGTTAACACCGAGGAGCCCTTGATGCTGTCATGTTGTGGTCTTTTATCAGTGGTGCCATGTGTTCATCATCAAGCTCTCCTGTATTTGCCCTTAAGGATAAAGATATCTACCACCAAATGACATTTTCTAAGTGTTTTATTCAAAAAGGAGGTAAATGGCCTATTTCTTTGGATTGGGGCTAACTGACATTTCCTGACTGGATCATTATACCTTGGTGCAAGGCACTCTTATATTCAGACTTGCTCTAAGTTAAGTAAACCACTGGAGAATAGGAGCAAATCAGAGAACAGGTCTCTCCTTTTTTTACTTCTTAACACCCATTGCCAAGCCTGAGTTCAGATGCCAGTGGCTGGGAAACCGCTCCTAAGCAATAAGGAATTTTTGCCAATCCAATTAAAAAACAGCAACTGCAAGAAAAATTTCAAGATGTCTGTGTTAATGAAGCAGCAACGATGACCCCCTCAACTACCTCTCTTTGAACCACCTCTCTTTGAAATGCATGTGTTGTTCCCTGTGGCCAGGGAACTTTAGCATCTGAGGGCGCCATCTGCACTGGGTTCGCATAGGCATCAGCTCTGACTTCAGCCTGCAGAGCTTCAAAGTGAAGGCCCTACAGTAGAACTCAGAGCCAGAAGAAAAAAGCCAAGGAAATATAAGGGTAATTCATAGATTCTCTGATATGTTCCTGAATCAGTAACATTAATCTAGAGGCCATGTCCTATAGTAGAAAGAACAAAAGACTTGATGACACAGCTGGATTCAGTTGCTGGCTCTGATGGCCATTCCCTAGGTGACCCCAGGCAAGGAATTTCCTTGCACTCTCAGTATTAGTTTCCTCACCTTTCAAATGGGGATATAATTCTTACCTCACAGGATTGTTTGGAGGAATTCATATAAATGCTGCATGTGAAAGCACCTATTATACTATCTGGTACAATCTAAGTGCTCAGTAGTGTTTGGAGTTTACCTAGGGAAATTAAACAAGCAGCTTTCCTTTACCATCCAATAGATACTGAGTTAGCAAATAAGCAATATGTTTAATTCCTTTGGTTTATTTATGCACCTTTAAAATCATCAAAAGCTACTCTGCCAAGGAAAATATGCCATTTAATAACCTTAGAATTCATTTCATCTTAACATGATAGAAGGGTTTCACACTGAAGAGGTAGCAGGTATTATCCCACCGTTTTCACTGAGCAAACTAAGACCGATGAGTAGAAGTTAAAAGAAAGCAGATTTGGGTTCAGCATCACAAGGACCAATTGGAGTCAGGGCTGCTGTGCCACACAACTCCATGGGACATAATTCACCTAGACCACAAGCTAGACCACAGCCTAGCTGTGCAGGGCACAGGTGCACTGCAGTTGCAGAGCCCTGACTGGAGCTGTCCCGCATGTCACAGGCTGGTACATGAACAAAGTTCCCTATCATGGAATCTGTTCAATTCCAGGTAAAATGTCAATAAGTCAAGGATGTTGAAGAAATGGTTCCTATCTGGGTAGAAGTCTGACTAGGCACTCTCATTCTTAATTGACTATTGAAACACTTCTGGAGCATCCATTGTACATCAGGCACAGATCTCAGTCCAAGGATTAAAAGAAAAAAAAAAGAATAAGACACCATGCCTGCCCCAGGAAAGATAATGGTCCCATCCACTTAGTAATACTGTGCTCCCCACAGCCATATGGCATCCTGATGTGATATCAGCTGTCTCCTTCAGTGGCAGCTGAAGTTGCACAGCTATGGCCTCTGCTTTTAAAATTAACAGTATTCTCTCCTTCCTGAAAGTATAAACCTGTTCTACAGAGTTGATGTTCACAGTTGTGGACACACAGTTGTAACTAAGTTATCCGATTTAAATTCTCAAATTTATTGCTTTCAAGATAGGTTCATTCCAGTTATGAAAGAGAAGCCGAAGAAAGTCTGATTTCAGTGGCAGGGATCCTTTGATCTTAGAAAAAGCTGTTAAGGAAAACATCTAAAACTTGTTTTACAATTAGATAGGTATAGGTGAACAATGTCTTTTATGAAGGATACCAAAATGTTATTGTTTAAAAGTAATGAGAAACTCTGGGTAAGAATGGTGGTCATAAAATACCACAAATAAATTTGGATTTTGCTCGTTATCTGTGGCAGTGTCATAACGGTCAGGGTCCATAGGATTTTGAGGGTTCTTCAGAGGAGGCTGAACTAGTGTGCTATTTCCACGTGTGTAGACTCCGGTAAGTACTCGCACATAATACATGTGCTTTTTCCCATTTGCATCTGGTCTGGAGTATGTATTATTGGCAGAATAACTGGCATTGACAGCAAAATAGGTTCCCTTTCCATATGCCACAGCTGTGAAGAGAAAAACAGTTTGGAGAATTTTAATTTAGTCTGTAATTTGATGTATTGACACAGTATACCAAATAATGTTAAAATAATGTTCAGTTCTTTTTTCTAAAAGCTCTTAAAATTTTTTTCTATATTTTTAATTAAAAAAAAAAAAATCACTCCTCTACCCCAGAGGGCAAGTCAGTCCCTTTCAGATAAAAACATAGTGAGTCACACCTGAAACTTTGGCTGCAACATGGCCACCGACTATGAGGGAACACAATGCAATCCACATGGTCCCTTAGTCAGTTTGGGTTCTCATGCC